ACTAGGTTAGTTGGTCGTGCTAGGTTAGCCTTGGTATATGGTGTCCTGAGTTTGATTCCCCTTTCCAACAATTCTTCTTTACCTTATTCAAGCCGGCTCAATCGATCAAACATGCAAGCCCAAGAAGCCCAGTCGCACGTCGATTGGGCCATAACTTCCACCACTTGTCTAGTTCATACAAACGATCAGAGGAAGCCCGCTCAATTGAATCGGACGGTGAGTAAAAATAGTGTGGAAATTTATGTGTGGACCAAAATTACAATTACTATGTCGATGGAGCAAAAACCGGAGAAACACACCGTCCTTTATTGTTATTAGGTATAGATTAGCCCGTGTCTGTAGAAGTTAAAGCTTGTTATGCTACGTGTTTTGTGACAAGCCAGCACAATTCATCCATCCTCCTCTAATATCTACCGTCTATGACGCTATCACCATTGTGATGTTTCAACGAGGTGGGGGCATGAAAATGAGTAGGAAAGCAAACAACGAACTCCTTCCAACAACGTTAGTGTTTCGACAAGGATGGGTTGTGCACTTGCAGGCCGTTCAGGGAAAGTTGCCAGCAACCTTCTTGATTTTATTTTTTTTTGCTCTATGATGTTTTACAACTAAGGTTTTATAGGTTCCATGATCTTTGTAATATGCCACTACATTAGTTGCTCTTTCCAACATTTCATTAATGTTCTGCTGAAATGGCGGGGGTACGTAGGGGAACCAGTAAGGCCCAGCATCTGCAATAGCAGACCAAAATTTTGGCTACTCAAATCCATTTTAGATAGAGGAGAGAGAAGATTTGGGTATTGAAATTTTGTTCCTGCTTTTACAGAAGACCCAAAACTAGATACACATATTTTGATTTTGTTACAATAAACTACAATTTTTGTAGTACCCAGAATAACCCTCACACACAGAAAAAGAAAAACAATCAGGTTCCTGGAAAAAAAATCCAAAGCATGGTGACCTCATCAGGCTGATGGAGGGCAGCGATGACGGGAGAAAGGCGTCACAATGAGGGGGCGGGGGAGATGGGATGCAGGCAGGAGGACAGGTGGGTAGGGTCGATGGCAAGGTCAACGACGACACTGTGGCCAAGCCCCACAAGCTCGTTGGCCTAAGCGGTCAGTACCGACCTCATGCGTGTCATGCGCCTCTAAATCAGCTGCAACGGGGAGCGGCATGGAGGTAGAGCAGCTCCTGGATGCAACGGGACGGCAGGGCGGCGAAGCAGCTCCTGGACGCGAAGGTGCGACGCTGAGGTAGAGCAGCTCCTAGTCATTGTTTCTACATGCTCCCGTGTTTAAATAAGTTTACTTTGCTGAGACGAAGGCCCAGAGGAGACAACGAGCTTTGTTCACGGTATGCCATCGATGGATGCAGCAGGAAGAAGACTTCGACACTCAAAGGATTTGATGTATTTCTAATTTTTGTAAGGCTATTTTTAAAGTTTATGCTGTTTTAAAGGTTTATGCTATTTAATATACAACCTTTAATCTTTTATTAAAAAACATTAGACAACAAAAAAATGTTCATACTCCCTCTGATCCATATTAATTGTTGTTGACTTTGTATACAAATCCAACGACAATTAATATGAATCAGAGGGAGTAGTAAATTCTTAAAAGTAAGAAAGAAATATTCTTATGGAAGTGCTTTTGTGAGCATGAGAGCTCATGTGAACAGTAAATCATCATAATAATAAAGATAAAAAAGTTCTATTTTCTAGGCAAGCATCGATGTGCATGCAAATTTTGTGATTGAATTACCTGCATGGATGTCTAGGGCAAATAAAACAAAATTGATACTTCAAAACGCTTCTCAAAACAATATTTTTGGAGCATCAAAGTTTTAGTTTTGGATTATATTATTTTAATTTGAATTATTGTAGCATTGAAATATTTATCTTTCAAATGCTTAAGAGTTGTGCTATTTTATCTTTGACTGTTTTGAGTAGTCCTGGTATCGGAAAAACTAAAAGCAGACATTTTCCACGGACACGTTTGAACACGTCGAACGTCTCCATGGACATTTGGCGATGTCCGTCCTTGTTCACTTCGTGTATTGCTTTAGCCAAGTTATTAAAATCTACAACGTTTGACCAAGTTTATGAAAAAACAATTTGAAGTTAAAATCAAAACGTATATAATTTTAATAAAAGCTTATATGCGGGCAGACATGGCATTTAATTCTTGCAATTTATGGATTCTTTCTATTCCTGTGTTCTCCTATCCCGTCGTCCCAAACGCAAACCGGCCCTAAAAGTCCCACCTTTTTCCGGACAGGCTAGAAATGCCGCTGTCTCTCGTCTAGTCCCTACAGCCGCCGCCACCGTCGCCGTTGCCGTCGCCGTCGCCGTCGCCGCCGACCGACGGCTCAATCCCGCCAGCCTGCCCGCCGACGCCTCAGCCCCACTCCCAGCCGCCCCAATCACACGCCCCGCGCCGCCCCCGCCCCTCACGCGCGTCGCCGCCGCCGCCGCGGGCTCCGTTCTTCCTCGTCTGGACACCGCGCTCCCGCCGCCTCCGCTCCGCCCCGCCCACCCATTGGGTTTCCAGGTACGAGGTTTCCCCATCTTCATCCCGCGATTAAGTTCAATAGAAATCCCGCTGGACCTCACGGCCTGTGGCACACGCCGTCTAGATCCGCCGCCCCTGCAGTTGCTGTGAGGTGAGGAACGGCTTGTTATTAGCTACATAGTGGAGGAGTTTACCTCTGCATGTTTTATCTGAGTCATGTGCTGAGCCATGTTCATCAGCTTTTGCATGTGCTTTGTTTAGCCTCGCGGTTTTCTTTTTAACTTTCCCTGCCGATGCTTGAGTAGGTAGTTGCGATTGGGGTGGTTGCTTGTTCTCTTTGAAGCAATTTGTAGGTTTCTACTAATGGAAATTTTGGCAGCTGCCCTTTCATCAAAAAGGCTTGTTCGAGGAAATCCTAAACTGAACCCGCATGCCGGCCCCTGTTTCTGGATGAAGCCATGAAATTTTTGGAGCCATATCCCTACCCTTACATCCAGGAAATAGATGAACAACCCTCCACTGCTGATAGTTAATACTTCCTCCGTCCCATAATATAAGAGCGTTTTTGACACTAGCGTTTTTTACAGGAGTACTCCCTCCGTTCCGAATTACTTGTCTTGGATTTGTCTAGATACAGATGTATCTAGACTCATTTTAGTGTCAGATACCTCCGTATCTAGACAAATCCAAGACAAGTAATTCAGAACGGAGGGAGTAGTAGTTATCTTTGATGTTTGATAGTTTTATAAGTGTATAACCTGTAGATGCTTTTGCTGCAGAATGCTTCTTCATATTCAGATGATACCCTTAAGATGTTGTTTTTGTTGTGTGCCAGCTCTGTTATAAATCTTTGTTGTTTGCCAGCTCTGTTTATAACCTTTTGCAGTGCTTATTCTTAATTATTCCGAGGAAATCTTAGCCATTTCAAGTGACTGCTTCTGCGTATTGTTATTTCCAGCAGAAGTCGCGCTTCGCTCCTATGGCGGCATCTGACGAACAGCCTCAGAAGGACGAACATGATATGAAGGACGAACAACAGGCTGAGAAGGACGAAAAACAGGCTGAGAAGGAGTACGCTGATTTCGAGGCGAGGGTCAAGAGGACGATATACATCGACCACCTCTCCCCTCTGGTCACCAGCCAGGTTATCAAGGCGTCTCTCGCCCAGTGCGCCAACGTCGTCAACACGGAGTTCATCGAGAACTACACGATCCAGTACGAGATCCCCGCCGCTGCGTTGGTGGAGGTGGACAACGTGTCGCAGGCCCAGGCTGCTGTGGACCTGATGAACAACTTCCCTTTCATGATCGGCGGGATGCCCAGGCCTGTGAGGGCTGTCTTTGCAAAGCCCGAGATGTTTCCGGACCGCCCTAGGAAGCCTGGCTTGAAGATTGAGTTCAGCTGGGTAAAGCAAGGAGATCCGGGGTATGATGGGATGAATAAGCTCAAGGGCCTTATGAGGAGGCAAGAAGCAGAAAATATGGCACTCATCAAGGTGAAGTGGTTGTTTCTTTACTTCGTTACTGTTCTTATTATGTACTCACTCCGTCCCAAAATAAGTGTCTCAACTCTAGTATAACTTTGTACTAAAGTTAGTACAAAGTTGAGACACTTCTTTTGGGACGGAGGGAGTACTTGTATGCCCACTACTAAGAAAAGCTGCAAATCTTTCTGCTTTACTTGTCTAAAATGAGAAAAACACTTGCTCAGGGAACAGGAGATGTCAAGCATATTTTGAGAATTTTGATGATGATGCTGCTCTTTAAAATGTGATACAGTTGCTTTAAACCTCATTTCTTCTGTATCCGAGCCATAATTTCATTAAACTCTTTTCTTCTTTTTGTTTCAGAATCAATTGGAAGAGGAGAAGGAGCTGGCGGCGCAGCAGCAGGAAACCCTGGGAGCAAGCAGCACCAAGTACGACATGCTCGAGAACCTCGTGAACAACGGGGAAATCACTAAACTCGCTCAGCATTATAAGGTCAAGCTGGGAGAAGACTGATAGGTTCCTGACGTTCAAGCTCCTCCCTCGTAGACTGACTGCAGTCACCAGTGCAAGCAGATTCTTGTTCTGCCCAGGGCATCCCCACTCACAGATGTGATGGTGTGATAGTGATAATCCATTGGCTAGTTCTCATCTTGTGGTGTGATGATGGTAATAAAGCATTGATTTGTTTGGTGCCGCCATGCCCTAGTTGTGGCCAGCTGCAAAGCAGCAGTTCCTTAGTGTAACAACAGTCGATACATTACGACCGTTTGATGGTACGCTTGGTGTATTAATAATCTTTGTATGACCTCCAAGCTTAGCTTGTCAGCAAGATGATCCAATGATGTCTGATATTGTCTCCTGCATTGCTTCAAACTTGCTTATCTGATATGTCGGTGCCCGCGGTTCAGTCCTGTCTGGCAGTTCTGCTGCTAGCTTGAGTTGTTTTATGTTGGTCCTGATGCCTGAAGGTGTGTTGTTGCCTGAAGCAGGAGGGAATCATGTCTCTGCCTTGTGTTCCCAGGAATGGACACAATGTCAGAGTCACAAGTGCCATGTTCCCAAGTCTTGGAACACAGGAAAAGGAGGTTCTGCCTGGCTGGCTGGAGAATCTGAGGAGGAAATGGCAAGAGGAAGCAAGGAAGCCATGGCAAGCAAGGTTTGTCCCTTCCTGGCATGCCTCACTGAACCTCCCTCTCACGTATTCTCTCCTTGTGTTAATTTTTTTACTCTAAATAATTATCTCGTCAGCTGTGTTGCTACCAGTAGTATATCTACCTACCTGTATACACCCATACACATCACCAGAGGTTTTTCACTGTTGTTGCTGCACCTGAATCTGCAATGGGTAGGTCCCCAGGGCCGAGGAGGGGAAGTGCCCTGCTTCTGCCTCTGTTTCTCATCTGCTTCTTCTCAGGTGCTACTCTTCACAATCAATTCTTTTCCTCTGCTTCATCTTCTCCTCTTGCTTTCTACTATTGCTGGGATGAGATTGTGTCAGGTTTGTGACTGCTAGAATAGAATGGCATGCTTTGGAATCATCACCAGCCAGTTGGTGTACATCTATTCAGATTGCCTTGCACTCTGTTTTGAATGTACAGTGTAGAGTGTAGACCTTGTTTCAAATGTTGTCAGGACATACTCAACATAAGTGGAATCTTGCAAGCCCTGACCTGACACACATTGCCAATGCCATAGATTGCTTGTCTCTGAAGATCAGTTAATCAGATTGCTACTAGATGCTGCAGTAGTATTAACTGAAGCCAAAGTCGTTTTTGTTGTTGTTGTGATGACAGGGGCAATGAGGCATGTGGAGTCGGCCCGGGAGTTCACGCTCATCAACCAGTGCAAGACGGAGGTGTGGCCGGCGGTGACGCCGGGCGAGAGCTTCGGGGGCGGCGGGTACGCGCTCCGCGCTGGCGATTCGGTGGTGTTCACCGCCCCCGTGGGGTGGTCGGGCCGCGTGTGGGGCCGCACCGGCTGCACCTTCGACTCGGCCGGCAACGGCACGTGCGAGACGGGCGGGTGCGGCACGTCGCTGCAGTGCGAATCGGCATCGGGGGCCGCTCCGGCGACGCTGGCGGAGTTCACGCTGGCGGCGACTGACTACTACGACGTGAGCCTGGTGGACGGCTTCAACCTCCCCGTGGTGGTGACCCCGACCCCCACAAGCGCCAACTGGACGGGCTGCGCGCCGGCGGGGTGCGACGGCGACCTGCGCCGCGGCTGCCCATCGGAGCTGGCCGTGAAGGGAGATGGCGGGAAGGTGGTGGCGTGCCGGAGCGCGTGTGACGTGTTCGGGACCGACCAGTACTGCTGCCGCGGGCAGTACGCCAACCCGGTGGCCTGCCAGCCGACCTTCTACTCGAAGAAGTTCAAGGCGGCGTGCCCAGCCGCCTACAGCTACGCCTACGACGACCCCTCCTCCATCTTCACCTGCGCCCAGTCGCCCGACTACACCATCACCTTCTGCTCCAGCAACATGTACGTACTGTTCTGACAACCTTAATTATCATCTCTCTCTGAGATGAAATTCCTCCATATGTCTCTCAAGATCTTGTGTGTGGTCAAAGCATCCAATTCTTCACACAATCTGCAAGCTGTCCACCGATTGAATGGCACTGTAGCAATCATCTCTCACACACAAGCAATTTCTCAATATACAGTGCCATTCTGATTTGATAAGCTTGTGCCAGTTTACATGACACTTATCTCTGAATGACAGACATTTCAATGAATCTTTGCTCCTGCTAACCGTTTGATCTTGTACATTCTGTTGTTCCAGGAAGCAATCGGTGTGCTCGTACCGCGACAGCCGGCTCGTCTGCAGCGGCTCGGGCAGGAGCACCTCATCTCCACTAATGCTTGTGATGCTGCTGCTTCTCTGCAGCTTCCTGTCGTTGCAATTTGCATCCCCAGTGTGACTGATTAGTTGATTAAGGCTTAATCATCCAAGAGCAAGCTGACCTGACCCTCTTCCTGATACAGTTCTTTTTGGATTTTTTTTCTCTACTATGAGAAACAGAGAGTATAGGTGATTCATGGATCAAGTTTCTGCACTGTCAGTCAGTCAGTACCATTTGAATTTGAATGAGAGTTATACAGAGATAGCATAAGTGAATATTTGGTTCTCTCTCTTTCTCTCTCTGCTTTTCTAATCATCTATTCTGGTGGGATTATAGACAGCAGAGTAAAGAGCTTTTAAAACAACCACAATTCGCGCTATGGTTTTGAAAAACTACCACTTTTTGAAAAGCTCCAAAAACTACCACAAAGTTGACTTTTGATTTCAAAAAACACTAGTGATCTATTGGTTAAAGTTTAAATATGCTTACGACAGTTTGGGTCCATCCATCAGGGACACGTGGCAACAGATATAGACACTGCTAGTCAAAAACGTTTGTAGTCAAATGCCCGTCTATCGTGCCGCCGGTCTTGTCCCCAACCTGACTGTGACGGCAGCGGCTTCCGGCAATGGCGGCGGGACTCGAACGGAGGGGAACCGGGCGGAGTCGCGGCAGCGGAACAAGGCTGTGAAAAGTAGGTTAAGCGTATGCACTGAGGCAGGGGCGCGTGCGTGTTAAATAGGCACAAGGCCGAAGAGATTACAGAGGGAGGAGGTTAGGGTCGATCTCATCTATCTACAAGATAAACACAACGTGATGAGATCGATCCTACCTGCCTAACAAACTACACGCACACCTACAACTTGATACACACGGTTTATACAAAATACCGTGTATATACGCATAATATAAATACAATGTTTAACATTCCCCCTCAATCACAACTATCCAAGTTGAGATTGTGCCTGAAAGCTTCCAACTGCCGCGGTGTGAGTGGCTTGGTAAAACCATCTGCTACTTGATCACCAGTAGGAATGAACCTGATATTCAACAATTTGTCAGCCACTCATTCACGAACAAAATGATAATCAATCTCGATATGCTTCGTTCTGGCATGAAAAACAGGATTGGCAGACAGGTATGTAGCACCAAGATTATCGCACCAAAGTGAAGCTGCCCTTGGATGACGGATGCCCAATTCTGTCAACAAGTTCTGAACCCAAATCACTTCAGCAGTTGCATTGGCTAAAGCTTTATACTCTGCTTCTGTGCTTGATCGAGACACAGTGGGTTGCTTGCGAGCACTCCATGAAATCAGATTGCTGCCAAGAAACACTGCAAACCCTCCTGTGGATCTTCTGTCATCTAGACAGCCTGCCCAATCTGCATCTGAGAAGGCACTTACTATCATAGAATCTGACTTGCCAAGTTTGAGGCCATGATCCTTGGTTCCTTGCAGATACCTAAGAATCCTTTTTACTGTAGTCCAATGCACAATAGTAGGAGCATGTAGAAACTGACAAACTTTATTAACTGAGTAAGAAATATCTGGTCGTGTCAATGTCAAATATTGCAAAGCTCCTACAATACTCCTATATCTGGTGGCATCCTCTGCACTAAGAGCCTCCCCATCATAGAGAGATAATTTTTCGGAGGTAGATAATGGCGTGGGTGATGGTTTGCAATCTTTCATCCCCATCCTCTGAAGAATTTCTTGCACATACTTCCCTTGTGAAAGCACAATACCATTCGGCACAGTTTTGACCTCAATCCCGAGAAAGAAATGAAGATTACCCAAATCTGTAAGAGCAAACTCCTTATGCAAATCCTTGAGAAGGGCCTCAACTGCTTCAGAGGATGAACTTGTAACAACAATATCATCAACATAAATGAGCATAAAAATAGTAATCCCATGACGATGATAAAAGAACAATGATGTATCACCCTTAGAGGGAAGGAAACCTAGTGACTGCAATTTTAATGACAGACGTGAGTACCAGGCTCTAGGTGCTTGTTTCAGTCCATACAGTGCCTTATCGAGCTTGCAAACATGACGTGGAAATTTTAAACTTTCATACCCAGGAGGTTGTCTCATAAACACTTCCTCTTACAGAACACCACTTCTTTACATCTAGCTGACGAATGTACCAGTTTCTAGACACTGCAACTGAAAGGATCAATCGAATAGTAGCAGCTTTTACTACAGGACTGAACGTGTCCTCGTAGTCAATTCCATACCTTTGCTTGAACCCTTTTTCTACTAGACGTGCTTTATACCTGTCAACAGTACCATCAGATTTTCTTTTTACTTTGTAGACCCACTTATAGTCGATGATGTTCCTCCCTCTAGCTGGTGGAACGAGGTGCCAAGTTTTGTTTTTCATAAGGGCAGCAAACTCCTCATCCATGGCCTCCTTCCACCGTGGTTCACCAAGGGCTTCACTCACACTTTGCGGTTCACCTGTGGCACAAAAAGAACCCCAACGCACACAACCATCATTGTAAAGCTTGGGTTTAACGATACCACTCTGCGATCTGGTGCGGGAGCGTGCAGGAGGCGGCGGAGCCGGACGAGAAAGATGTCGTTCAAGCCGGTTTGAGGTAGATGACACATCGGATCCAGCGGGCGCAGAAGATCCGCTGGGGTGCAACTCCTGTAGAGATACGCCGGCGCGGCCTGCCTCCTCTCCCACGCTGCCAGTTGTCGCGTCTGGAGACGCGTCGGAGGGCGGGACCCCGCCTGGGCCACGCGTAGAGGGCCCAGCTGCGTCGTCTTGTTGCGGCAGCCGACCGAGAGCACGTGCGAGGGACCCGCCTGGTCCAGCGGCGGGAGAGGCCGACGCGTCCAGCGCCCGACCAGACCCACGTGCAGGTGGCCCACCAGACCCCACGGCGCGGTCGTTCAGCGAACCAGAGGCGGGCGCGGATCCCGCGGCTGATCCGCCTGCGCCTGGCGCACCTGACGCGGTGGATCCCGAGGAGATCCTCCCGCCCGAATCCACACGGGGACTAGTGCCGGGATCGTCTGTGGCCGTTCCTGCAGAATCTGACTCCAACATAAAATCATAGCCAGTTTCACCTATTTCTTCCAAATTTTCCTGCACACTTTCAGCAGAGGCATTATGCGATACAAACACATGATCATTAGGTTCTTCTGCATCCCCTGGAATAAAGTGTGGCGATGGTAGAAGATGGGAAGGGAGAAGAACAAGTTCTTTGCGGAGTTGGGCGCCGGCGTTGGGGTGAAGTTGAGCAAAAGGAAAAACTTGTTCATCGAACACAACATCTCGAGAAACATACACACGGCCAGTAGACACGTCCAAACACTTGTAGCCCTTATGGAGACTACTATACCCTAGGAACACACATTGCTTAGAGCGAAACTCAAGTTTGTGTTTGTTGAAGGGACGTAGGTTTGGCCAAACGGCACAACCAAAGATACGAAGAAAAGTGTAGTTTGGTTTTGTGCCGAACAAGCGTTCTAGTGGAGTTTGATTGTGAATGACTCGACTAGGGACACGATTGATAAGATAGACAGCCGTGAGGAAAGCCTCGTCCCAAAATTTGAGGGGCATATAGGCATGAGCGAGCAAGGAAAGCCCAACTTCCACTATGTGTCTGTGTTTGCGCTCAGCTGAGCCGTTCTGTTGGTGTGCATGGGGGCACGACACATGATGCATGATGCCTATGCGTTCAAAGAACGAATGGAGTTTTTGGTATTCACCACCCCAGTCCGTTTGCATAGCAAGAATTTTGCGATCGAAAAGGCGTTCAACCTTGTCTCTGGCCTCGAGGAATGTGCACGTCATCTCGCCCCAGTGTGGGTGAAGCATTGCGACCACCGCCGCGTCGGCCACAGCCGGGTGCTGAAGCAGCACCTACTCCAACTCCTTGCTGCAAATATTCTCATTGCCGCTGATGATCACGTCCTTTGACCGGTCCTTTATCTCAATGTACCCGTTCGGGTGCACGACGCCGGCGTCGCCCTTCATGAACAACCCGCCCTTCTCATTCGCCTCAGGGTTGTTGAGGTACCCCTTCATGAAGTTGTCATCGCGGAGCACGGTCTCACCTAAGGACTTGCGGTCGCACGACACATTAGACATGGTGTTGTAGTTGACAAGGACGTACGTTGGTGTTGGCGAGACACAGGACGCTGACCCCCTACCTGGCCTTGAGGCGTGAGCTCTTCAAGAGCGGCAGGAGGTCCCATTGGTGACGCCACTCACAGGCCAGAGCTGGTCCTATGATCACTAGCTACTTCGTCTTGAAGAAGGACGTCATGGGAATGATTGGCTTCTCTGGTTACCAGAAGTACACGGCCACACTACGGATGCTTGCATATGGCACGCCCGCTGATTCGTGGGATGAGAACCTACGAATGTCTGAGAGCTCATGCGGAGATGTCATGGTCATGTTTGCAACTACCATGGTCGAGGTGTTCGGACCTCAGTACCTGAAAGAACCAACTATGGCAGACACCGAGAGGCTCTTAGCAATCTCAGAAGCAAGAGGGTGCCAGGTTTGCTTGGATCTCTTAACTGCATGCATTGGAAATAGAAGAACTGCCCGAAGGCTTTATAAGGGCAATATGAGAGTCATGTTAAGAAGCCCACTATCATTCTTGAAGCAGTTGTATCACATGATCTGTTGATTTGGCACGCTTTCTTTGGTATGCCCGGGTCTGACAATGAAATCAATGTGTTACAGTGATCATGCACAACATGATTGTCGAGGCTGAGGGTGAGGATGACGCCACAACTCTAGAATTTGAGAACATGGGTTATCCTATCGAACTTCCAGACCAAAATTCGGCCACATTTGAAGAGTTTATTCAAATGCATCAACAAATTCGACATCGATTAACTCACGAGGAGCTGAAGTAATATCTGATTGACCATTTGTGGGCGGTTAAAGGGGACAACAATGTTGGGATGTAATATTTGAACTTCTTCAAGTTTGAACTAGTGTTGCATGCGGCTATTTGAACGTCTATACTCTACGTATGCGGTTATTTGATCTTACGGACTTAGAAAAATGAGGGCGGCCGGATGTATGCGGCTACGGTTGAATGGCGG